AAAGTGTGTTCGCTCACCTCTTAAACCTACACTATGTTGAAACCCTTGCCCAGCCACACACAAGAGAACCACCACCACTGACCAGGGAGGAAGAATCATCAGCAACACAATCATCAATAACCAGAAGTAAAGAATAAGAAGGCACAACACCGTGACTGGAACAATACACAAATAACCCGCACATAGGAGACAAACATATATGTTTCGGTCCAACTTGAACCATAAGTCACACAGAGGACCGATACGTCTTCATAAGTTTGTCTCCTATGTGAGGGATATTTATGTACCAGAAGATGTAAGAACACCTCAATGGCGACAAAATATACGAGCAGATCACACAACAGTTTCCCGGAGACACGCGCCGTATCCTCACAGTCTGGCCAGGGCAGGAAACCTAGGCGTAATTGCGTAGTCAGCAATTACGGCTTAATCAAAATCCACAAGCCTAATACTCCTATTTTGCTTATAACATCTGTTGTCAGCGAACAGCACCGTTTGGCAGACACCTTCGCCAAATGTTTGTCTAAGTTAGCAGCAGACAACTTGAACAGTCAAGAGACTTACTCCACAGAGTCAGGAACATCAACAAAGAACAAAGAGGCATCCAAAGAAGGCAATGACTGCGACAGATGTTTCATTTTTCATACAAGTTACGATATGGTCGCACAGACGATAAAGGAGCAAAGAATGACGTAGTTTCCTCAAACAATTAGAAATATAACTAGAAAAACAAGATATTTACACCGAGCGGTGGAGAATTTGACAAATGTACAGCATCTGGGTATCTTTATTTGTAGACGTTTCAGCATCCAGTGGCTTTATCAGTACAAGGACATGTGAAGATAGTAGAACTGTATACAAAAGATGAGGTAATCAGTCCCTCATCAGACTTGAAGTTAGTGAAGAGCATCCTAGTCTTAGATTTATTATATAACTTGTATCTTCTTTTATAATACATTGGATCATATTTGCATCCAATTTTGCTGCTGCTGCTGCTGCTGCGGCGGCGACGGCGGCGGGCGGCGGCGGCGGCGAAGGTGGTGGTAGTAGTGATAATAGTAATATGATTATTTGTAAAACTATTACATTCCAGCAGAATCCTGTTGCTGATAAGGATTTTTGGAGAGAGAAACACAAAGACGGGAGAGCGGAACTGGAAAGCAGGAGCCAGAAGCTATATTGAAAACATACAGTAACACATGCAGGCGCTCACCAGAACATTACTCCACACCTCCAGTCAAATATAATATTAGCCTGCCAGCCAGTCAGCAGTCAGTCAGCCAGCCTGCCAGCCAGCACCCAGCCAGACAACCATCTAATCACCTATCCATCCATCTAGCCACCTATCCATTCATCCATCCAACCACCTATCCATTCATCCATCCAACCATCCACCTATCCATCCATCCAACCATCCACCTATCCATCCATCCAACCTATCCATCCATCCATCCATCCATCCATCCACCTAGCCATCTGCCCATCCAACTAGCCACCTATCCATCCATCCAACCATCTACCTATCCATCCACAACCATCACCTATCCATCCATCCAACCATCTACCTATCCATCCATCCAACCATCTACCTATCCATCCATCCAACCATCTACCTATCCATCCATCCAACCATCTATATATCCATCCATCCATCCATTCACCTAGCCACTTATCCATCCAACCATCCATCTAGCCACCTATCCATCCATCCATCCACCTATCCATCCTACCATCCACCTATTCATCCATCCATCCACCTAGTCACCTATCCATGCAGCCAGCCAGCTTCACTCTCAGCCTCATCCCCAGAGAGGGTAGCTACTGCGTCCAGCAGTATTCAACAACATCATAAATGAAAGCAAAATATATGCATAGGCAAAGTGGAGATATTTCTTGTTTTGCTCACACCATCTTCTAGGAAACCTGAGAGATAAATAAACTCGTCTATTTGGCGAGAGAGAGAGAGAGAGAGAGAGAGAGAGAGAGAGAGAGAGAGAGAGAGAGAGAGAGAGAGAGAGAGAGAGAGAAACCCCTGACGTGGGTTCACAGCAACAATATTTATCCTGACGTGAGTTTACCGCGACAATGTTTATCCTGACGTGGGTTTACCGTAACCATGTTTATCCTGACGTGGGTTTACAGCAAGAATGTTTATCCTGACGTGGGTTTACCGCAGCCATGTTTATCCTGACGTGGGTTTACAGCAAGAATGTTTATCCTGACGTGGGTTTACCGCAGCCATGTTTATCCTGACGTGGGTTTATCGTAACTCGTGCTGGATGGTTCCTGGAATGGGTTAGAAAGAGAGGAGAAGGAAGAGGCAAGAAGACAAAAGAAAAAGGTAGAAATCTCGTCAGAGAAGGAGAGTTGGGGAGGGAGAGAATGGAGAAAATAAGCCAAATAGAGACAGAGAGAAAGGGAGGGAGGGAAGAGATCAGGGAGGGAGGGAAGAGGTCAGAGAGGAATTAGAAAGGCAGAGAAAGCATTGCAAACAGGGAGTAGGAATGATTTAGAGAGGGTGGAGGAGGCCAGAAATGGAGAAAGGAAAGAGATTTAGAAAGCAGACCAGAGCGGCAGATAGGTGGGGGAAAGAGAGCAGGGAGGGAAAGAGAGAGGAGGGAGGGGAAAAGAGAGGAGGGAGGGGAAAGAGGACGGTGAGGAAACGAGTTCAGAGAGGGAGAGGGGGCGGGAGAGAAAGCGAGAGAGGGGAATTAGAGAGTTAAAGAGACGGAAAGGAAAGAGAAATAGATGGGGAAGATAGCCAGAGAGGGAAGGAGGAAGGCGGGGGAGGAGAAATATAGAGGTAGAGAGAGAGAGGGGGGGGGAGACCAGAGACTTAGAGGTGGAAGGGGTAAAAAGAATAAGGTGAGGAGATGCGAGAGACAGAGATGTTGTGAGACCAGAAAGCGAGAGAGGAAGAAAGAGACAGGCGTAGGGCGGGGGCGGGTTTGGACGTCCAAAGAGGGAGAAAGAGAGGAAAGCAGGAAAGGGGAAGGATGGAGAGAAAAAGGGACAGAGGGAGGAAAGCCAGAGTTAGAGCAAAGGAAAGAAACGAGAGAGAGAGGTAGTAGGGTGGTGGGGAGGGGGAAGAGACGGCCAGAAGGGTAAAAAAGAGAGAAGAGAGAGGATGAAGAGATGCTGGAGTGGTCCTCTAATGTGCTTCAATCTGCCGAGAAGAAAAAATACAAGAGCCGCTGCTTTTTACTGAGGTGATTTGCATACTCTAACACGTTACCTGACAGTCTTAAAGTGTGTTAATAGATAAACAAAACCCAGTGTGTGTGTAACTTGTGGCTGCTACTTAACATCTCTCCACAGGCAACCCACTTCAAAAAAAAAAATGAAATTGAGTGTTCGAAATTCGTAGGAGCCTACTTAAAAACTCCATAATAATATTAATAATAATAATAATAATAATAATAATAATAATAATTATAATAATAATACATGGTATACAGTCCTAGTTGACATCAGTGACATACTACTATATAGAAAGCCGCTTGTTATGCAGAGCATTTCGGGCAAATTAGGTCAAATTTTATCTCAGGATGCGACTCACACCAGTCAACTAACACCCAGGTACCTATTTTACTGATAGGTGAACATGGACAGCAGGTGCCTTAAGGAAACGTGTCCTAATGTTTCCACCCGTACCGGGGATCGACCCCCTGACCTCAGTATGAGAGTTGAATGCGCTAGCAGTCAAATTACGGAATGTTCGAAATTCTGAGTGATTTTCAACAGATAAATCTTAGGAGGCCTGGTCTGAGATCGAGCATTTTGGGGGGGGGGGGCGGTGATCCCTCCCAGAATCACCTACAAGTGAACACATTTTTAACCATTCGGGTCCAAATAAGATATTAAAAGGTTAGGAAGTGAGGAATTATTTGCTACGTTCAGGAAATGGAACGCGGACGAAGCTTATCCTGAGAGGATTTGTGAAAGCATTGGTCCGTGTTTGGGGAGTCCTTGACGTGCTTTGAGGGTGGTGGGGAGGTACGTAGTGGCCCATGTTAATGAATAAGTCGCGAGGGTTTACCACAGATCACTGCCTCACCCTGCTGTGTGTGTGTGTGTGAGAGAGAGAGAGAGAGAGGGAGAGATTTATCCTGGTCTCAGATAGGTCGAGAGTGAGTTCACTCTGCTGTGACAGGTGGGGAGAGATTCACCCTGCTCAGACAGGTTGAAAGGGTTCACCCGGCTCTAAGAGAGGTAAAGGTTCACTCTCTAAGACAGGTAGTGAGGGTTCACTCTCTGTAAGACAGGTCGTGAGGGTTCACTCTCTGTAAGACAGGTCGTGAGGGTTCACTCCCTCAAATACGGGTCTTGAGGGTTCACTGAAATATTCGTGAGGGTTCACTCTCAAATATGAGTCGTGAGGGTTCACTGAAATATTCGTGAGCGTTCACTCTCTGAAATACGAGTCGTGAGGGTTCAGTCCCTGAAATACAGGTTATGAGGGTTCACTCCCTGAAATACAGGTTATGAGGGTTCACTCCCTGAAATACAGGTTATGAGGGTTCACTCCCTGAAATACAGGTTATGAGGGTTCACTCCCTGAAATACAGGTCACGAAAGTTCATTCTAGTGACAGAGAAGTAGTTATGGATCATCCTGCTCTGAGAGAGACAGGTAATGAGAGGTTTACCACAGAAACCTGCTTCACCCAACTACGAGAGATATAAAACCTGAACCCTCTCAGCCACACGTCTCATGGGATCAATAATCTCTTTAACTGCTGAGAACGCTGAGCTTTTTCCTCATCTACCTCACTCTGCCACCAACGAGATCAGGAGCCCCATCCTGGCTACCTACTGAAGATGCAATGGGAAACCCACACTAAATAAACCTGGTTTGAGGGTAAAACTGGCCCCCGGATCGAACCTCTTCTTCCTTGTTCTCTCTCTCTCTCTCCCTCTCTCTCTCTCTCTCTCCCTCTTCCTTTTTCTCTCTCGTGGATACTGCGGGTGAACAGAGCGTCACTCGTCAGTAGAGTGCTGGTGGTCGTGAAGGGAAGGTGTGTGTGTGTCGTGCTCTCTACCCTGCCAGCTCTACCCACTTTCCAGTGTGGTGTTCGTGCCAGGAAGCACTAGTGAGTTAATTTATTGCCGCTGCGTCTTAGTGTTGCAGGTCCGCCGGGGTGATGTGTGAGACAGACACCTCCTAAACTAGTTTTAAACCAGGATGAAATTATTCGATTTTGTATTTTAAAACAGAAAAAAAGGTTGTCTCCTAGAAACATTCACAATTTCACCTCTTTAGCAGACTGGAAAATACGTTAAATTCGCGTCTGTCAGTGGAGACATGCAAGGAATTTGCCAATTAAACTGCCTGGGCTGAGACTGTGCTTGGGCCCGCTGGTGTGAGGCGAAGCACAACACAGGACTTGTGGAACTCCCTCATCGCTTCGCCAAAACAACCACTACCACACATATATAGATCCGTCGGTCTCCTTCAAGCTGCTACGGCCTCCACTCCCACCTCTCTCTCTCTCTCTCTCTCTCTCTCTCTCTCTCTCTCTCTCTCTCTCTCTCTCTCTCTCTCTCTCTCTCTCTCTTCCTCCCCCTCTCTCTCTCTCTTCACCGTATCACGGGCGATTAAGAAAAGCTGCCGTGCATAACGCTGTTCTCGGAAAATGGCATTCCCAGCACATAGCGTTCCTGAGATAGCCGATTATGTGAGTGTTCGTAGAGGCTGAACGACCACTTAACGCACTGAAATCAAGCAGATACAAACAGGACTCTCCAACTGCCGGTAAATTAACGCATGAAGGAGCCACTACACTTTACTTCAGCAGAGATATAAGAAAAGTAGCAGCGGTGAATGCAGCAAAGATATTTGCTGCCCTTAGGATGCATCAGCACGTCCAGTAATGGAGCATAGTCACGGGTGTTGCTCTCTGCGGTAGTACTCGAGCTAAGCAAGAATTTGCACCAATGCTGCAGGGGTTGTCGAAGAGTGCAGTGCTGCCCTCAACATCTAGGCAACACTCGGAACACTCCACTAGGCGAAACACCTCCGGTATTCTTAACAGTGGACTTTCCTGCACTTCTCTGAAAACCTCCAGTGTGAAGACTCCTTCTCCAGATATGTTTTGAAAAGCAAGCACTTCAGCGTCACTCCATACACGACCCAAACATAGGCTTACCTTCAAGACACACTCAGAAAAACTATCGCCCAACGTTCCCTTTTTCCCTAAGACTTCTGCACCATCACCCACCAACCACACCCCCTTCTCAAACACACTCACTTTTCCTCAGTACATCAGTTGTGCCACTAACATCTGGGAACACAAACTGTCTCACAGACTCAAGAGAGCCATCTCACAGACCTCAAGAGAGCAGTCTCACAGACCTCAAGAGAGCAGTCTCACAGACCTCAAGAGAGCAGTCTCACAGACCTCAAGAGAGCAGTCTCACAGACCTCAAGAGAGCAGTCTCACAGACCTCAAGAGAGCCGTCTCACAGACCTCAAGAGAGCTGTGTGATCAGGGCCACCCAGCTGTGGCCACTTCTCCCAACTCAAGGTAAGGATGGCTCCTTTCCAGGGCTCAGTTTTTTTCCTCTCTTGGGGATATACATTTTCCCTCCCCTCCACTACCGGACAGAGTGCAATCGAGGCCTGTATTAATGTGTCATGTAGTGTGTGAGGGGACTTTACGAGAGTGTGTGAGGGGCGGGGGGCGCTGTTCCCTTCAAGGATGGAGTTTGATAACAATGAATCATGCATCAAGGGGAGCTCAAGGCTACAAAAAATTTAAGGAATATTGCACCACCATTCACGAAACACACACACACTTATATATATATATATATATATATATATATATATGTCTTGGAGATGTCAAATTTGATTTTATTAAACTAAAGCTACATGTTTTATGTGTGATTGTTGCTTTATTGAGTGAATTGTCTTTATTTTGAAGTTTATACCTTTTTTTTTTTTGATGAGGGGACGAGAAGAAAGAAGTTGTTTTCTATCTAAAGGAAAGGGTAGGAATGTTTTTCTTTGCAAGGGAAAGTGTTACATTTTAATTTAAAGATTTATTTTAACTCTGAAAGGGTTGATAACCTTTGCTTTGTGATATTGGTTTACTTTGAAGGAGAAAAATAATAAGTCTTCACCAGAGGAACGTTAGTTTTTACTTTGCTGGAGGTTAACTATTTACCCTAAATAGTTACATAACTTCGGGAGCATTGGACTTAGGTTACATTAGGTCAGGTAACATCAGGTTAGGCGAGGTTAGGTTAAGTTAGATTAGGTTAGATTATTTCGGGTGGGGAGGATGTTAGTTTTATTCTGGGGTCTTAGTTTCAACTTTAGTGGTCTTAGTTTATCCTTTGTAGATGATATTCAGTTTTTCTTTGGGGGCTCGTGTAAACCTGTAGTATTTTTTGGAGGATATACAGTTAGTTTTGAATGTATGGTACACATGTGTATCAAGTACATGTGTATACGAGTATAGATCTTGCTAGCTAAATGTTACGTTAGATTTTGTAATATTGTTAAGTTTGTGTAACTTAGTTATACTGGCTCCAGTATACTACAGTATACTGGCTCCAGTATATTGACTCCAGTATATTGGCTCATGTATACTGGCTCCATTATACTGACTCCAGTATAATGGCTCCTGTACACTGACTCCAGTATACTGGCTCATGTATACTGGCTCATGTATACTGGCTCATGTATACTGGCTCATGTATACTGGCTCATGTATACTGGCTCATGCATACTGGCTCATGTATACTGGCTCATGTATACTGGCTCATGTATACTGGCTCATGTATACTGGCTCATGTATACTGGCTCATGTATACTGGCTCATGTATACTGGCTCATGTATACTGGCTCATGTATACTGGCTCATGTATAGGTATATACTGGCTCATGTATACTGGCTCATGTATACTGGCTCATGTATACTGGCTCATGTATACTGGCTCATGTATACTGCCAGACTGCCTCCATTATACTGACTCCAGTATAATGGCTCCTGTACACTGACTCCAGTATACTGGCTCATGTACACTGACTCCAGTATACTGGCTCATGTACACTGACTCCAGTATACTGGCTCATGTACACTGACTCCAGTATACTGGCTCATGTACACTGACTCCAGTATACTGGCTCATGTACACTGACTCCAGTATACTGGCTCATGTATACTGGCTCCATTATACTGACTCCAGTATAATGGCTCCTGTACACTGACTCCAGTATACTGGCTCATGTATACTGGCTCATGTATACTGGCTCATGTATACTGGCTCATGTATACTGGCTCATGTATACTGGCTCATGTATACTGGCTCATGTATACTGGCTCATGTATACTGGCTCATGTATACTGGCTCATGTATACTGGCTCATGTATACTGGCTCATGTATACTGGCTCATGTATACTGGCTCATGTATACTGCCTCCATTATACTGACTCCAGTATAATGGCTCCTGTACACTGACTCCAGTATACTGGCTCATGTACACTGACTCCAGTATACTGGCTCATGTACACTGACTCCAGTATACTGGCTCATGTACACTGACTCCAGTATACTGGCTCATGTACACTGACTCCAGTATACTGGCTCATGTACACTGACTCCAGTATACTGGCTCATGTATACTGGCTCCATTATACTGACTCCAGTATAATGGCTCCTGTACACTGACTCCAGTATACTGGCTCATGTATACTGGCTCATGTATACTGGCTCATGTATACTGGCTCATGTATACTGGCTCATGTATACTGGCTCATGTATACTGGCTCATGTATACTGGCTCATGTATACTGGCTCATGTATACTGGCTCATGTATACTGGCTCATGTATACTGGCTCATGTATACTGGCTCCTGTACACTGACTCCAGTATACTGGCTCCTGTACACTGACTCCAGTATACTGGCTCCTGTACACTGACTCCAGTATACTGGCTCCTGTACACTGACTCCAGTATACTGGCTCCTGTACACTGACTCCAGTATACTGGCTCCTGTACACTGACTCCAGTATACTGGCTCATGTACACTGACTCCAGTATACTGGCTCCTGTACACTGACTTCAGTATACTGGCTCCTGTACACTGACTCCAGTATAATGGCTCCTGTACACTGACTCCAGTATACTGGCTCATGTATACTGGCTCATGTATACTGGCTCATGTATACTGGCTCATGTATACTGGCTCATGTATACTGGACTCATGTATACTGGCTCATGGCTATACTGGCCTCATGTATACTGGCTCCTGTACACTGACTCCAGTATACTGGCTCCTGTACACTGACTCCAGTATACTGGCTCCTGTACACTGACTCCAGTATACTGGCTCTGTACACTGACTCCAGTATACTGGCTCCTGTACACTGACTCCAGTATACTGGCTCCTGTACACTGACTCCAGTATACTGGCTCCTGTACACTGACTCCAGTATACTGGCTCTGTACACTGACTCCAGTATACTGGCTCCTGTACACTGACTCAGTATACTGGCTCCTGTACACTGACTCCAGTATACTGCTCCTGTAACTGACTCCAGTATACTGGCTCATGTATACTGGCTCATGTATACTGGCTCCATGTATACTGGCTCTGTACTGCTCAGTATACTGGCTCCTGTACACTGACTCCAGTATACTGGCTCCTGTACACTGACTCCAGTATACTGGCTCCTGTACACTGACTCCAGTATACTGGCTCCTGTACACTGACTCCAGTATACTGGCTCATGTACACTGACTCCAGTATACTGGCTCCTGTACACTGACTCCAGTATACTGGCTCCTGTACACTGACTCCAGTATACTGGCTCATGTACACTGACTCCAGTATACTGGCTCCTGTACACTGACTCCAGTATACTGGCTCCTGTACACTGACTCCAGTATACTGGCTCATGTACACTGACTCCAGTATACTGGCTCTGTACACTGACTCCAGTATACTGGCTCCTGTACACTGACTCCAGTATACTGGCTCCTGTACACTGACTCCAGTATACTGGCTCCTGTACACTGACTCCAGTATACTGGCTCCTGTACACTGACTCCAGTATACTGGCTCCTGTACACTGACTCCAGTATACTGGCTCCTGTACACTGACTCCAGTATACTGGCTCCTGTACACTGACTCCAGTATACTGGCTCCATGTACACTGACTCCAGTATACTGGCTCCTGTACACTGACTCCAGTATACTGGCTCCTGTACACTGACTCCAGTATACTGGCTCATGTACACTGACTCCAGTATACTGGCTCCTGTACACTGACTCCAGTATACTGGCTCTGTACACTGACTCCAGTATACTGGCTCATGTACACTGACTCCAGTATACTGGCTCCTGTACACTGACTCCAGTATACTGGCTCCTGTACACTGACTCCAGTATACTGGCTCATGTACACTGACTCCAGTATACTGGCTCCTGTACACTGACTCCAGTATACTGGCTCCTGTACACTGACTCCAGTATACTGGCTCCTGTACACTGACTCCAGTATACTGGCTCCATTATACTGACTCCAGTATAATGGCTCCTGTACACTGACTCCAGTATACTGGCTCCTGTACACTGACTCCAGTATACTGGCTCATGTATACTGACTCCAGTATACTGGCTCCTGTACACTGACTCCAGTATACTGGCTCCTGTACACTGACTCCAGTATACTGGCTCATGTATACTGACTCCAGTATACTGGCTCCTGTACACTGACTCCAGTATACTGGCTCCTGTACACTGACTCCAGTATACTGGCTCATGTATACTGACTCCAGTATACTGGCTCTGTACACTGACTCCAGTATACTGGCTCCTGTACACGACTCCTGTACATACTCAGTATACTGGCTCTGTAACTGACTCCAGTATACTGGCTCATGTACACTGACTGCAGTATACTGGCTCCTGTACACTGACTCCAGTATACTGGCTCCTGTACACTGACTCCTGTACACTGACTCCAGTATACTGGCTCCTGTACACTGACTCCAGTATACTGGCTCATGTACACTGACTGCAGTATACTGGCTCCTGTACACTGACTCCAGTATACTGGCTCCAGTATACTGGCTCCAGTATACTGGCTCCAGTATACTGGCTCCAGTATACTGGCTCCAGTATACTGGCTCCAGTATACTGGCTCCATTAAAAAAGCCTCGGTCCTCAAGCCTCTATATAAGTGACTGGAAACCTTTTACGGTCACTTAATCAAGGGTAAGGGAGTGAAACCTTTCATGTTATAATAATTCATGGGCTGGAAACCTAGTACCCTGAAAACGCCAAAAATCCAAGAAAAAACCCTCCAAGGTTTTCTTGGGCGAAGTACCCGTGAACCTCCCAGAACCTCCCACAGCTTTATTTCTGTTGTTGACAACAGACCAACTATTCTGCTTGGTAATTGTTGACTGTTTCAGCACTGATGATGGTGTTTCTTGATCCGAAACGTTTGGATGATAGAGGATATTTAATATAGATTATATTCGACTCTCCGTAATGTCCGAATGTCCT